CCTTCCATCGCGGCGTCATCGCTCGTTGCATCTCGGTCGCATTTAATTGCGTGAGCGCGCCCACCATTTTCATTAGCCGCGTCGCTTCCCTTCTCGTTTTTTGTCTCGCCGGTTCCATCCCCTTCTGCCACTGGGCGGTTATCGGGGTGCCCAGGTATTTGTAGATCTCGACCGCCGCCGCTTCCACCGCCGTTTGTCTCGCCGTCTGTACGTCGTCTTCTCCCTTGCTCGTCTGTCCTCTCGCTGTCGAAGTCGCCCTCTTGATGCTGCGTGGTGCCCGTATCTGTGGAATTTCCGTCCCGTCGAGGAGTCGCATTGGCGCGCCTTCTATGTTTCGTGCGATCCCATTCTCGTATCGTACTGCCATGTACGCTGTCTTTTCTTTTCCCTTGACCTTGACCGCCATGCCACTCATCTTCATTAAGTACCAGTTCAGGTCGAATATCGCCTGTAGGTCCGCGGTGCTCTCAGTGATGAATGAGCCGTCGTCCGCGTAATATAGCTGTGGCACCCGCCCGTTTTCTCCTTTTGTGACTGCGAATCCCCTCGCGTACTTGGATACCGCCCATTGTCCCATTGCTATCGGCATCTTCGCCCTCGACCCTCCGTTCGGATCGCCCTGGCCTGTGCCTCGGTCCAGGGGGAATGCGTCCGACAGCCCATGTTCGGTCTCAAATTGCCCTGTAACGTTTGTGTGTAGCGCCTTAATTACCGCGCTGATCTCGGGTTCTACTCCTAGCGCCGCCTCGAGCTGAAATTGTATCTCCTTTACGATGCTCATGAAGCATGTTGACAGATCCTGGAAGCCGATGCATATTTCGCGTCCTTCGAGCTAGACTTCGTTGTTAATGGCACCTTGGAGTGCTGGGGGGGGCGACACGGGGGACGTGGCAGCCCTGAGTGATGTGTACGCCAACAACTCAGGGTGTGTGGCAGCCAGCTGGGCTGTGTGTCTTGTGAGCCTGTTTGTGGTCTGTGTGTCGCTCATGCGTGTCGTCATCATCTGTCTAGCGTCCACCCATACCGCGTTGGTGTCCAGTCCGAGCCTGACTCCGCTCGCGCATGTATGTAGCACAGGTACAGCAGGTATCTCTCCTGCTCGTCATAAAGTACATGATCGCCAACTCGAGCTGGCCGCTCCGCAATGGCCTCTGTCTACGTGCCTCTGAGGGCCTCGCTGGACTCCTCCTTGAGCACAAACTTCTGCACCTTGCCGCTCGCCGTCAACGGGAACCGGTCGACGACGCGGAAGAACTTGGGCACCTTGAAATGCGCCAGCTCGCTCCGACACAGCGCCTCGATGGACTCGATGACGGCCTACGGGAAATGTCTTGGACATGTCTAGGACGTTATCTGGACATATACCGACCCACTCGACAACGGCTCGCGGCCGCTGTGGAGCGGCGAGGCGTTAGGAATGTCGAGGCACGGAAAAATCCGACCAACCTGCAAAATCAAGTTTCGTGGGAGCCTGAATCTCCGGCACTTCCTGATGCCGCGGCCTTTCGCGCGTTCCACCAGCCAGTTGCTGGACCCCGGGCTGGACTGCTACAAGTATGCTTACCGACATCAGCCTGCTGCGACACGAGCGCCGCGGTGCGGCTGCGGCGCTGAGTGCGCTGAGTCTCCTCCTCGCCACGGGGTGCGTCCTCCTCCTCCTCTGCCGGCCGCCACCATCGGTCCACAACCGCGCGACGAGTGGCAGAGCAGCAGCGAAAAAAGATAGCCCACTCCTCTTCTTTGCGATGGGCGACTGGGGAGGTGGGAGCCGGTTCATGCCCACGACGCGCTCCCAGCTAGCCAACGGCGACGGCATGGCGACAGTTGCCAGCTGGATGGGCGTCACGCCCGCTTTCGTGATGGCTGTCGGAGACAACTTTTATGAGTGTGGCGTCACCGACGTGGAGTCGCGCCGCTTTGCCTCGACCTTCGAGGCGGCCTTCAG